GGTTTGCTGATCCCCTCTCCAGGGGTGCTGAATGAGGCACTGAGCTCCAAAGCTGTACTGGGTGCTTCCTTCCAGGAAGAGAAAAGTCCCAATGTAGGGAATTGTAAGTGTTTAAGTTAATCCATACCTAGAACTGCTGTGTCATCCTAGTTCTTCTGCTAAGAGAGCTGTGCCACAAATGCAGTGGTTGTTTCAGGCCCCAGTGTGGGGTTTGGACATGGCCACAGCCATGCACACGAGCATTTTTCTTGGTTGATGCCAGTGGCAGCTAATCTGGAATCACAGAATAATAGAATATCCTGACCTGGAAGGGACCCGTCATGATCACTGAGTCCAGCTCCTGGCTGTGCACAGGACCCCAAGAATCCCACCCTGTGCCTGAGAGCATTGTCCAGGTTTCCTAGTGGAGACCTCCCTGTATGGGCTCCTCCCTTCCCCATCTGCCTCTTCACATCTACTCTGCTTTGTCTGATCACTGTTGTCTCCTTGATTAATGAACTCTAATCAAGGCTTCTTTGCTCTTTTCTCTGCAAGAGGCTGTGATGAACCTGTGTCCTGTCCTTCCCACTGACCTGCACTGTGTCCAGCTCTCCCAGGCTGAATGGACACCCGTCCCAGCTCTCTGGGTGACAGTGTTACTGTGCCACAGGGAAGAGGATCTCCATCTTTGGGCACATCGTGTCTGCCCAGCCTGGCCCTCAGCATGCTCCATGTTCTCCTGAAGGTCTGAGAAGGCAAGGAGTGGGCAGCAGCTTACATGAGAGCCTGGGAAAGTTGGAAAGGACATAGGAAAGACCCTGAGGCTCAGCGTGAGTGATCAGTGGGCTCTGCTGCTTACACCGTGCCTGCCCCTCCTCTGCCTGCAGAGGGACTGTCACCTGTGGGTGCTGTGGGCTGCCCGGCCTCCTGCACCCTGATGGGGCAGTTACATATTAACAATCCTGTGATCCTTCCCAGACTCACCTGGTGAGGGTTTTTTTTGACCACTGCCCCTTCTCCAGGCACTCAGGGCTGTCCTGTGCATCCTACATGTGTTCTTCCTGAAGTTGCTGAACATGTTGAGGGAGTACTTGTTTTGCTTACAGTCATTCAACCTGCTGGGCCACTTGCTCTGCTCATTTGTGGGACAGAATAGATGGCTGGGCCTCATCCTTCCACTGGGAATGCAGACCTCACATGAGAGTGATTCCACCTTCTGCTGTTACTTCTCAGTGGCTGTTCCAGGTGTGTTATGTTGGGAGCAGCCAGGGAGTTCAGGTCAAGTGGCAATAGATCTGCGAGAGGGACCTGGGGCAGGTTAGTGGAAACACTCTCAAATACTGCCTTGAATTTTTAAAATCTTTTAGAGAACCTTCTGTGTATAACAAAGGTATTTTGTTTTTGTTTTTTTTTTTTTTCCAAGGCAAACTTCCTCAGGTTAACTAGTCATGTAAAAAGCATCAGTAACCAGCAACATATGCTCTCCTGTTGTTGTCTCATGCAAGTGTGTTCATGTGGGACACTCCACAAGCTGCTGAGCCTGGATCCTCTTGGGAGATGCTGCAGCTCTTCCAGAGGTGAGAGCTTCTTCGTGCTCATTGTAGAAGTGAGGAGTCCTGTACATTCAAAGCCTTCATTAATGACTACATCACAATGAGTTGTGCTCCTTCATGCCTCATCCCACCTGCCAGCTCCTGGGCTGTTCCACATCCTGTCAAAACCAGGCATCTTAGACAGATTTACTCAATGTCCCACATCCTTCCCTGTGCACCCTCTTCCTGCTGGTAGCCAGACTCAGTGATGTTACAACACCCGGTTCTGGATTCCCTTCGGAAGAAGACACAGAAGGGGTGTCTGGAAGTGCTTTTCCCCATGTTCAGTACAGGGAAGCAGCTGAAAGAAGCAGCACACTGTGGTCCTTGTCCTGCCAGCTGTGCATCAGCCCCCTGAGCAGCTCAGGGCTGCACTCAGGGCCAGCACAGCAGCTCCATGGACTCACCTTGGCTTCCCTGCATGGCACAGGGGTGGTAGAGACCTTGGAGCTGCAACAGGACAGAACCTCTGTGCTGTGCACACCACTGGGCAGGTGCAGCAGAGGTGGGGGGTCCCTGCCTCTCCTGACATCCTTTGTGGTTGGATCATTTGGCCTGTGGCTGGCAACTGGTGTCCAATGTCCTCCTTCAGCTGTGCAGGTATGAGGCTGCCTCTCCCCTGATTTGAGATTGTCTTAAAAAATGAATTATAAAGATGAAACATGGAATTTGTGTGCTGCCACTGTGCTTAGATTCTGTAACGCTGTGGTTGGGAATCTTGGGCAAAAAATGGGGAGATTTGACTTTGCTCTGTAGGTTCAGTGCTGACAGAGCTCAGTGCAGGAACTAAAATTGGGACTTTTCTCATCCAGATGTGGTGTCTGAGTGCATCTGGCCAGTGAATTCTGCAGTGGAGCACTGCTGTGCAGTGCCTTCCAGAAATGCTGGTACAGCACTGAGGAGCACCCTGATGTTTCGAGATGGAAGATTGGGTTTCAGTCTCTGGGTTTCAGAGAGGGGAAGAAAGCAAATCTGGTTTCTTGTGTTCCTGGGTGAGTGTTTCAGGAAACAGCCTGGCAGGCTGCATCCCATGGGTGCATGAAGAGGAAGAAGCAGGTACATTCTGTGGAGAGCCCAGGCAAGGTGTTTGTGTTTGCTGAGCTCCAAGAACATCTGCAGGATGGAAGAATATTGCCTAATGCTTGGCTGAGCTCAGTTAGCAGCCAGAGCAGAACTGCCCAGGGACATTGACTTGGAAGTGGCACTTGGGATGTGTGTTCAGCCAGAGGGAATTTTCCCCTTGTCTGTTGATTGCAGAAAGTGTGTAGACAAGACTTCCAGGTAAGATCCCTGCTTTTAGCTGGCAAAAAGATTCCCACATCCCGTGTTAGCTAGTCAGCCTCTGGAGTGCCAGTTAGAGCCCTCTTGCCAGAAGCAGGAACAGGTCACCTCTCATCTAATTTTAGAAGTCTGTGTGGTAAACCTCTGTCACTGACTTGGGCAGCCCAAGCTCCAGCTGTCAGTGGGGGGAGATAAGAGCTTCCCAGGCACATTTCATCCAACCTGTTCCAGGTGTCTGCTGCAGGGTGAGGTAACTGACTCCTGGAAGTCTCTGCCTCTCCCCACCAACCCTAAAGGAGCCCAGCCTGACAAGCTGGACTGGAGATGTTTACATCGTGTGTGCTTTTATGTGCTGAGGACCATGAGAAATTACCAGAGGGAGAGCAGATCATTACCAAACAGTGCAAATCCCTTTACAAATCCCCTTTACAGAATCAGCAGCAGAAAATATGTATTTGATATTTTTATTTTTAAAATTCACACTCTTTTCAGCTCTTTAGGAAGGCAAAAAGTAGGGTGATGGTACACTGTTACCACTCTGCAAAGCAGCTCCAGAAAAACACCCACCACATTACAGCTCCTTCCCTTTGTTACTTCCCCAAACTTTCTTACACTGCATTGGCTGTTCACTTCATATTTTATTTATTATTTCATATTTATTTATTCATATTTTTATTATTCTTTAAGCTGTTCTAATGTTTACTTTCACCTGTAACACTTCTGTGCCAGGAGCTTTGTAACAGTTTTGTCCCATCCATACTTTGCCTTTGCTACTGCATCACAACCAACTGGCAGCCAACTTCTGTTTTCTGATTCAATCAATGTAATGTTCTTGCCATTTGCAGTCCTGCTGAGGCTTCATCCAGACTTCAGGCATCCAGAGACTAGACAGCTAATCCAAACTAATCATCCCACTCATCTGTAGTCCGTGGAGAGTGACAGTCTTTTGGGGACATGATTCATCCCAGCTGATTTATAGCCTGGTGTCTGGATGTGCTGGTTCACACTCAGGCATGGCCATCCCTACTCCATTGACTATTGCCCCATGATTATTCCAGGGCACACATTTAGTTTTTACATTACTTAATTTAATTTAATCTCAGGGGATTTTGTAGATAAAAGGCCAGTTGATTACATCAACTCTCCAGCCAGGTTTTCATTCCCTGGTTGCCTGTGTGGTGTTCAGTAGCTCCAGGGTGAGCTGATCTTTGCTCCTCTTCACAAGTTGTGTTCTGTGGTGTGTTCCTACATAGTGCCTTAATTCACATAGCAATGTCTGCCTGTACTGTTCCTCCAAAAATAACTCCATTATGCTTTTGGGAAGCTGGAATTAAGTAATCCTCAATAAGCAGCATGTGGCAGTATCATCATTCACACGGCACCAGACTCCTAAGGCTGAACGTACTTGAAGGATTTCCAGGGAGATGCTAAATGAGCACATGAAATATTGCTCTTCTCGCCTGCAGTATCTAATGACCAAGATTCCTGCTGTGATTCTGACAAACACCATAACTCTGTGTGTCAAGAAATTTACTGTTCTGGCTTCTCTGCCAGGTGCTGGTGTAGCAGAGCCAGGCTCAAGAAATGCTAAGGAGGAGCATTATCTGTGGCTCAGGGATGAGTAAGTTTCTCTGCCGAGTCTGATTATCCACTTGGGATATTTGTGTTTCATTATAACTGACACTAAGCAGCATGTTTGATTTGGAACAAATTTCAAGCAGGAACAAGTTCCAGCATCTGCATTTCTACTGTGAGCACAGTGAGGGACAAAACAGGTTAGAACCTGCTAGGCCAAGGGTGGGGACCTCTCTAGGGGTGGGAAGGGAAGGGGAGAACAGTACATTAATCAGTTACAAGGAAAAGGAAGGAGCAGCTTGAAGAGCTGATATTCTTCCCCTTGCAAGAGGGACACTGGGCACCCAGTATCAGGTGCGTGTCTGGGGAAGCTGGGTGAGGGAGCTGGGGAAAGCTGGCTCCTCCCCCGGAGTGTGAGGCTGTACCTGGTGATTAAGGACTTGAGCTTATGCTGAGTCCTGAAGGAACCTGTTGGGAGGAGCTCAGGAGTGCAGGAGGGGCAGAAAAGACGTGAAGACAGACACAGGACAAATCCAGCAGGAGAGACACCTCTCGGCATCAGCAGCTCCAGTCATGTTCAACTACCTGGCAGTCGAGGTGAGGCCCCAGCTCCACCGCAGCTATGGGAGCCAGCAAGGGGTGTCTGGGCCACTGAAGAGCCGCCTGGAGCAGCTGAAGAAGCCGTGGTGGAGGGAGCCCACCCCGCTGGTGCTCCAGCACAGCGAGACAGCCAGGCTGGCCATCGACGCCTTTCTTGAGCAGGGGGAGCGTGGCTACCTGAGCGCCATCGCCGAGGAGAGAGAGCTGCCGTTCCTTTCCACCTTGGACATGGAATACATCAGCCGTCAGAGGAACCAAAGCTTCCCAGACCCCAGTGCAACGAAAGACAAAGAAGCTGACCCTGGTGATGCAGACACTGGAGACAGGTTCTCCCTCAACTCTGAACTAACATCGGGCACCTACTTCCCCGTCATGTCTGATGTTCACCCTCCGGAGCTGGAGCTGGGGTGGCCAGGGATTCCTCTCCTCACGGTGTCTGGCCAGACTCAGGCCACTGTGATTTTCCAAAGAAACAAAACGAACAGCATTAAGGATTTGGTCCGGTCTCTGATCAGCCGGTCACGGACGGTACGTACAGATCTGTGTCCCTCGAGGGGAGCCTTGTGCCACCGTGCCCGGGGCTGGTGGCTGCTCCCACACCTGTAACCACACGGTCCATGCTGTCACTGCTCTCTACATGTCTGGCATGATGTGATTGCTTTTTCTGCAGCAGACCTGTATCTGCTCCTGCCCCTTTCCTTTCTTGTCATTTCTTTCTGCCTGGGATTTCATGTCATCCAGGCAGTGCCCCTGCAGGCTCCCTGTGTCCATATCTGCAGGGATGCAGAGCAGTCCCAGAGCCCAGTGGGGTGTGTGGCAAGGGCCTGCAGTGTCCCTGGCTCTGTGTCACAGCCATCTCTCCTCCCTCTGCATGGTCGGGGCTCTTCTCCAGCCCTGGACATCATTTTAAGCTGGACAAGACAATACCACTGGTGAGCTGCTGTCACAGAGAAAATCTCAGAATGGTTTGTGTTGGGAGGAACCATCTCATTCCATGCCCTGCCCTGGGCAGGGACACCTTCCACTAGCCCAGGTTGCTCCAAGCTCTGTCCAAACTGTTCTTGGACACTACCAGGGATGGGGCAGTTTCTCTGGGCAACCTGGGCCAGGACCTCACCACATATGACCTGAGTAAATTTGTGGGACTGAAAATCCCTGCCAGTGGTTTGAATTAAGTTAGAATCCTGTCTCCTAGGTTTGATGTCTGTGCCTCCCCAGGGATGAGTAAGATCAGCTCATTTTGCCTCATTGCACAGTTTCTGGTGTGTTATTACAACCCTCGGATGCAATAAAAACTGGATGATTACAGTGCCTGCCTACCAAGCACAATGCTGGCATGAATTTATTCATTCAGTTATGCAGCTTGTTGTTTCTTTTGCTTTGCCACTGTACTCTGTGAAAGCAGCAGCTCAGAAACTATCTCAGGCACATTTTCAGCTTTTTGTCGTCTTCATGGTTCTTTTCAGCTGTTTCACGTCAATCTTCTTTTGTAGTATTTGTGTTGAGATATTGAGGAAACATGTAGAGCAAAGTTCATTTTAACCAGTCAGCTTCTGGCAGTTTCCCTTATGACTCCAGTAATTTCCTATTTAACTTCAGTCACTCCTTACATTCGTTGTTGTTTGTGTAAAAGCTGGAGATAAGGAATCACCTGGATCACTGCAGCTCAAGTGTGATCTTCTATAACCCTCAGCAGAGTGGACCAAATTAATTTATGTGTCCCCAGCAGCTCATATTGCTGCAGAGCATTAAAACATCTTTAAAGAGCCACATATCAGTGAAGTTTGGGCGTGATATGAGGTGAATGGGGATCTTTTTCTTTTGCCCAAAGGACCATTTTGCCACACAAGCTGCTGCTCAGTTGTAAGCAGCCCTTGTTTAATGCCTGAACTTCCACTGCAATTACAGGAAGTTTTGATCCAGGAAATAAGTGGCAAAAAGCTTTGTTTGTCCTTGCAGGCAGCTGATTTATGGTAGTTTAAATGATCTGAAAAGTTCTGTGATATTGATCCTTTCCTTGTCAGCAGTGGGGATTAAGGCACAGTCATGGTAGAATGCACAGAGTAAATTACTACCAAGAAGTGTCTTCCCATCACTCATCACATGTCCCGGATCTTCAGTGATATTATGATCCTTTAAGCCACAGGAAAAACATCTTGCTGCTTTCTCAGTTCACAGGAACTTCTCAGTTGCTGTGGGCAAGTTGCCTGGGCAGTGGCTGCTTTATTGTACTTTCAGTACATTCTGAGCTTTTTGCTTTCTTTGCTCGGATTGACAAAGCCCTAATAGTCTTTTTACCCTTCATGTTTGAGTTGAGGGTTCCCACAGTGTTTTTTACTGTTGTGTGAAATGTGAGAATGAGTTTTTAAGTATCTTACTGATTTATTACTGGTATTCTACCAGCTTCTGGGTTAGCAGCTCTGGCCAGTGCTTCCCATGGTTGATAGCAATTCTAGCTCATTCACAACCCCAGTTATACATATTTAAGTATTTACTGAGTCATTTTGCCTAACAAACCATCCAAAAGAATGTTATTTATATGTCTTAATGACAAAAGAAAAACCATAGGTAAAAACTTCCTTTGCTTGAAGTGCCAGTATGAACCTTTTTAAGAACTACCTGGTGTTGCAGTTTGCAGCTGCTGTTTCTACATTTCCAGTATTTTTGCCACTAGAATTTAACTGTTGTCATCAATCCCTCTTTTAGAGAGTTTCTCCTCCCATGGGGGATACAGTGCTGGTGTGATGTGGGAAAGATGTTGAGAACGCCAACTGCTTTTCCCAGGTCCTGTAGACAGGGAGGTGTGTGTCTTGAAAGGCTGTTTGCTTCTTCCTGGTAGACTCACACAGAACAACATCAGCTGACATCTCTTGCAACAGCATATTTGTGCTGACAAATTAGCAAAAGGAGCATTTGTTTCATAGGTATCTTTTGCTGTGAGGCTGGTCTTTCGCCTTTGCTGTGTTTAACCAGCTCTCTTTGAAGACAGATGTTCAGATTTGAGCTTTTCTCTTTGCAGACATAAGAAGATGCAGCACAGCCACACCTTTGCCTTCATTTGATAATACTGTTAAAATTTTGCCCTTGGTGGATGAGCTTCAATCTGGTTTGAACTGTCCATGCTGCTTCTTTTACCCCTCTTGTGCCCCTTGGACTCTGGCTGTGCACTGTGTCTGTGCCTGGTGGGAGAAGGGTCCCTGATGGTCCCCAGGGAAGAAAGAGATCAAATGGCACCACTGCAGTAATGACCCAAACCACACTGCTATTGGCAAATACCAGTAAAACCAGCTGTGCTGGTTAGAAACCAGACAGATGGCAAACCCCAGTGGGGATCTGGTAAGTGCTGTAATTTCTAAAGTGATGACTCCAGTAATTGCTGAATTGTGAGTTTCCAGAAGTGGGTTTGGGAATGTCATGGTTTAACCCTACAATGGCAAGGTGTGAATTTTTTTAAAGCCTGTGGGGCAGCTGTGTCTTTGACATCCTGACCTGCCAAGGCCAAGCCATGGGCTCAGAGGTCGTGATGAGCATGGTGAGGAGCAGGGATGCCCCAAGCCAGCCTTACAGTCCCCCGCCACTGAAACAGGGGGGCTGGAGACACTGACACAGGTTTAGGTTTGTATGGCCCCATTGACTTGATTGATTTAAAATGTGAGACATGAGCTGTTGGGAGCCTGAATTGCAGATGGTACTTGGGTACTCAACTCCCAGTGCTTTAGGGGGTTTGAGGGGAAAAAACTTCCAGGGTCTTCTTCCCCCAAAATTCCTTGGCTTTGGGGTTGATCTGGTGTTATTATAAGATCTACCTGCTTTGATTTCCAAAAGGATCTGCTAATCTCAGTGCCCTTATGGATACCCACTTGGTATCCATAGAAAGAGCAGCCCCACATGGGCATCTCCCATGTGGGGGCACAGCCTCCCCTCTGTCCCCACTGCAGCACACACTGGGTCTGTCCTTGTGCCCAGCACCGGCAGCGCTGCGAAGGAAGGCATGAGCAGAGCTGCAGCCTGCTCCACCTCCCGTCCAAGCCCAGACCCGCTTTGGAAAGCCCGAGTGTGACTGTCAGGGCTCCACCCAGCTTGCACAAGCTGGCCCCGCTGCCTGGGGCTCTCGCTGACGCCGCAGCCTGGCCACCTGCATCCAGCTTGGGCATCGCTGCCACGGTGACTCTGTGCCATGTGCTGCTGCCTGCTTAGCCCCATCCCTCTCACGCTGAGCACTGAGGCCCTGGCAGTGTTGGTTTGGGGCAAGGATCAACCTGAATTGGGCAACCAGTCCTGCCAAAGCCTGCAAGCACTGCTAGAGGAAAGCAAGTAGTATGGACCTCCTGTGCACTTTGGGTCCAGGCCTTGCCCCTCAACATGTGGGATCTGGGGACAAGGAGCTTCTGTCTTCCTTGACTCCATCACACTAGCTTTCCAAGCAGACAGACTTCCCCAGGACATACCTGCCTCAAACCTAAGCTTGAGATGAGCTTGAATATCATGAGGCGAAGTTGACTGAGAGGGACCTGCTGGAGGCTTTACACAAGGTCTGGGCCATCGTTTCTTCATGGTGCTTCATCATCAGAGGATGTGTGACCCATCAAAGAATTTGGCTAAATTGCAGTTGGCCTTTGCCTGGAGGACAGTGTGAAGAGATGTGGCGAAGTCCTTTTATACTGTGGGTCTCAGTGGTACCTTGTGCTGATAGCAGTAACATTAATCTGGGAAGTTGAAGATGCTTCTCAGTACTTGCAGAGCTCCTCCAGGGCTGACTCTGCTCTCCACGAGAGACAGGCATATTTCAAGAGGGGAGAAGTTTCTGGCAAGGGCTTCTGGGAAGACAGTTCTGGCAAGGGCTACAGAAAAGGTGCCCTTTGGAGTCAGGTTCTAGAGCCTCTATCTCTTGGGGCCAGGGTGAGAGGATGGAGATGTGGTTTTGGCCTGGATGGCAGGAATGATTTTTAGCTCTTGACAGCTGCCTTGTGTCCCACATAGATGTCTGGGATCACGCCATCCTCTGGGAAGATTCTTCCCCAAACCCTGCTGTGGTGAGCTGGGCCTGGGGCCTCCTGCAAGATGCTGAGGACCAATGACAGTATGTTGTGCATCATCACAGAGATGGGTTTTTGGGACAAAACAGAGCCCACAATATCCTGTCCGTCTGCAAAAGGGCTCAATCCCCAAGGGAGCAGAAATCAGCCTTCTGGCGTTGTTGTCCTCTCCACTGTGGCTCTGTGCAAGGGTCTCTCCCTGGCCTGTACAGGCGGAGCACAGCCAGCTCCCCAAGCAGAAGACAGAGCTGGTGAGCATGGGGAAGGTCAGGGGCCCTGTGCTGCCCATGCCTGCTCTGAGGCCATGAGTGCAAGCCTGGAAAGAGGCAATTTTTTAATGAAAACAGAGCAGAGGAGCTACGGGCAGTGAGCAATCTGGGTCAGTGTGGCAGTCTGGAGCACAAATCCAAGGACACTTAAACTTGGAGCTCCTCTCCTCTTTTCTGAAGCTACTCCCGACCAGCCCCATGCCATGATTGCAATTTCCCTTGTTCCTATTTAAAGCTTGAATCACTGCACAATATAAAAGCTGACCTCACAGCCGTCCTCTGCATTTAACTCTTGGTTTGAAGAGGAGCAGGTGAGCAGCAGTGGCAGAGGAAGGCTCAGCCTGCAGGGGTGAGATCCACCGGGTGATTTGGGCTATGGAGAGTTGCATTTGTGGCCATGCACATAGCACAGGCAGCCAAGGTGTTGGAACACAGGCTCCCTCCTCGTGGGGGCCATGATGGCAGCAGGACTTGACTGTGTTTTCTGTGTCAGGTGTGGTGCAGGGCATGGACACTGAGAAGCAGAGTAGGCTATTGGAGCTTCACTCAGTTTAGTGGGTTTTGAGTCATCTTTATTTGGGCATTCTCTGGCAGGTGCAGAAACACAAATCAGGGTTATACACACAACTCACAAGCACCAGTTACCTTGTTCACTATGATATGGTAAAGTCTGGGACTAAAGTACTTGGGCAGTAGTTGCACTATTTTTTTTTTCAGCTTTTGAAAAGAAGTTTGGCTGATGGTAAATCGTCCCCTACCCTTTTCCATCCTGTGGTGTGTTCCCAATCATGAAGTGCTCTGCACCCTCAGGTGCAGTGACAAATTATTCCGCTCAGCAAGTGCTCTCCTGTCTGTTCCTTCCTTCTCCAAGGTGTTCCCCTGACCCTGACAGTGACAGCCAACAGATGATCCCAACAGTCACTTCCTCATCCAAATAACGGCTCCCTCAGTGTTGTCTGCTGGCAACTTCATTCCGTGAGGACCAGAGCAACAGGGTCTCCAATCCCATCTGAATCTGTTTATGGCTGATTTCCCTTGATGCATTGTTCTTGTTGCAGGTCATTTGAATTGTCTGGTCCTGGGGCAACTCACTTGTAGTAGCTGCTTGTCATGACTTACCTTCTGTTTTCTGTATTTTCATTCCAGTTTTTGGAGAATTCATGTAGCCATGACATTCTGCTGCCTCCCACTCCATCTCCAGTGCAATGGCTTGCCATGTTTTTTTTTCAGTCTCATTCTTTGAAGAACTGGCATTTCTCTTTTAAATTCTTTTTCTATTTAAAACCCCTTCCTTGAAGACCTTATCTTTATTGAGATACATATATGTTTATTTTTTAATAATCTTAGCGTTATTCCTTCTTCCTCTTGTTGGGTTTCATACCCATCACTTTCATCCCTGGCTGCATGAGCAGGAGTTCTGCCAGCAGGGAAAGGGAAGGGGTCCTTTCCACACACATTATTCTCTGATTTTGTCTAGGCTATTGGAGGTTCACTCAAATTTAGTGGATTTTGAGTCATCTTTATTTGGGCATTCTCTGGCAGGTGCAGAAACACAAATGAGGGTTATACACCCAACTCACAAGCACCAGTTACCTTATTCACTATGAATAGGATCTAATCTTCACTAGGATCTAATCTTGAAACAAGGATTGCAATTTATCATAATACCTTCTGTCTCCCCAGTGTGTCCATCCTGAAAAAAATTTGTACTTTTTCATATTAATCTGCCAGTCATGTAGAGTCAATCTTGCTGATTGAACAATGATTTTGCTCAGTCTCAGTCTCTTGTTTATATGCTTTATTCTTGGCATATTTTCTTAAGGTAACACATACTTGTTGCACCACTGAAATTCAGAGTTTGTGCATGTGTTACCCTTTCAGCTACTCCTTTCTGCAAGTAGCAGATGAGACAGGGGGTACCCAGGTGGGGATTGCCTTCAAACTTATAAAAATTTGATTTTAGCTGCCACAGGGGGGTAAGGGCTGTTAAATACAAAAGTCCAGAATCGTATCCATTCAGGTGGCCACGGGGTCTCAGTAACTCAGGAGGTTTGAATAGTTTAAAGCACATAATTTAAAGCAGAGTTCACTTGGGCATGAGATTTCAACATTCTCTTGTGTTTCTTTCCCCCCCACACACCTCTTTTCTCCTGGCCAGGTGATAGCAATTGTGATGGATCTGTTTACAGACATGGAAATCCTGTGTGACCTGCTGGAGGCCTCAAGCAGACGGCACATCCCCGTTTACCTGATCCTGGATGAAGAGTACTTGAAGCATTTTGTGGAAATGTGCAATAAAATGGCTCTTACTCAAGACAGCTTCCCAGTAAGTTTTCAGTCACACACTGGATATGATAAACAGGTCTTGGAATTGATAAAAACAATGTACCCTGTGTTCTGGTCCCTAGGACTCATCCCTTCTCCCCAGAATCTATCCCTTCTCTCCCTGTCCCAGGCTAAAAAACCAGTGCTGTTTGCTCTAGGAAACTGAGATCTGTCTGGAAGCACAGAGGAAGGCATGCAGGACCCTCCTAGTCCCATGTATTGGTGTTTTGTGCTCCTCATTTCAGTTTTCCATGCAGGGAGCCAATGGGATGCAGTGAATTGCTGAACATTTTGCTGTGCTGATGAGGAGGGAGGCCTGGAAATTTAGTTCATGTGAACCTCATCTGAACATTGCAAGGGAAGGAACACAATTCCTGCTCTAGGACATAGAATTGCAAGACTTAAATTGCTCCTAGTTCAGATCCCTGAGCTCAGTGATTTAAATTCTGCCCAGAGCTGCTACAGGGCATAAGCTGGGAGAGCAAGGGAAGAAGTGAGTCCCCTCAGATGTCCTGCTGCAAACCCCATCACTTCCTTCTGCTGAACCCACAGGTTAAAAATCTCATGTTAAGGTCTGCTTTTAGGTTTTGCAATTCAGTCGTGGGTCCATGATTTGGATTTACGAAAAACCCAATTCCTGCTCAGTGGGTGCACATCACTCAGCATGTGGTGCCCAGAGCAGATATACAGTAAAAATTAATGTGATAGTGTCATAAGCTCTCTTGGGAACTTGCAGATTCAGAGATGCACCCCAGTATCCTGCTGATCCCCATTTTCACCTATCAATGGAGGTTGGTTTTTTTGTTGTCATTTGTTATTCCTGTAAGGCCAGCAGTGCTGGCTGTGCTTCTTCCCTAGGTGAGTAGGATTCCCTGGAGCACTGACTCCTTCACTCCAGCCACCAGTTTCATGGGTTTTCCATTCATTTTTGTGGTGAGCACTTGGAAATTTTACAGGTAGCTCAAAAGGGACAATGTAAAAATAATCAGATGTCTTAATTTCCTGTAATTTTTAACCTGTCTACAGAAGGGTTAATTTACAGATGCCTCTTTAGAGAAGCACTCAGTCCTCTGGTCCAGTTGAAAAGGTTGGGCTTGATGACCTTGAATGTATTTCCAACCTAAATGATTCTGTGATTCTTCCACTGTGCTGGAGAAGCTCTGTCCTGTCTTGCTTCTTACAAGCCAGACTGATTTCATCCTGACTCTTGAGATGGCAGCTCTTGGAAAACTACTCCGTGCTGGAGCAGGTTTGCTTCCATAAATAGCTTCCACACTGAAGTGACCTGGTGCATTCAGATGATTTCTATCTCTCCAAAATATATTTTATTGCTTCTTGTCCAAGAGGTGGCCATTTTTAAAATTAAAATTAGAATGAGTTTATATCTGTGGAGATGTCTATGTCTCTTTGTTATGCCTGATGTCATGTCGTGTGCTTGAGTGGGTAATTAACACTTGCCTCCCCGTTCCATGACTCACTAGCAGCTCTCCATCTGAAGTGTCTCTTACACTGATGCACCTGTGCAGTCCATTACCTGCAGGCTGAATACACATCTCAGTGGAATGAGGGTACATATTTTATTCCTGCCTCCAAGTTGTGACAGGATGTGGCAGTAAATCTCCATTTTGAATAATTGGTGACAATTTGGGCTTGAATGGGGAATTTGGGGTAATTGCTCCTCCAGCATGTTCTGAAAACAACATGTGAGTCTGCTGGTGGCAAATTCCAGTGCTGAGCATCAGAAAATCCTGTGTGGATCACTGGCAATAGAGAGAACAGAAGCCTTAACTTGGAGTTTTCAAACATCTGTCTGCTGAACCTGGAGCTACGTTTGGATGGAGCAAGAGTAGTACCAGGGTGTCTTTACTGCAAGTCTACAGGATTCTCATCTTGTTGGGATTTCTCAGGGTCTGGATTGACAAGAGGAAAAAGATGATAATGAACCAGATGTCAGAAGCTCACCCAGCCTTGGAAAGGATAAATGGAGTGGTGACAAATTTATGGAATTTACCTGAAGTTGTTTTATTTTCTCCAGGAAGGAGGTTTGGGAGGAGGAAGCCCCTCCCAGTGAAAACCAGTATTACTAAAACTTCACCAGTGGAAGAAAAAATCCCTGTGTTGACTGGCCACAGGATAAGGTGAAGACCTCACCAAGTATCCAGTGTTATCTTGGTCTGAATCAGCAACTTGTGTCATTTCAGAGGATCAGAGTTTAATGCAAGTTGGCAGGGACCTTAGGATGTCATCAAACCCAGCCTCCCACTCAAAACAGTGTCCACTGTTAGGTCACTTTACCTGGTCTCATCTGGCAGATCTCCAAGTGAGGAGACCACACAGTCTCTCTGGCTAAATTGTTCCAATGCACAACTGTCATTATGGGGAAAAGGTTTCTCTCTTCTCATATGTGTCAGATGAGGATATGTTCTGGGACATGAAAAGCCAACAAGTGAAAGCCACACTGTCAAAATTCTGATGCTTCAGCTCTGTACTAGCTAGAGGTTTCCATGAACTCAAGAGACCAGCACTTGGAGAAGAGATCATGGTAGGCTTCCCACTGAGACAAGCCACAAGAAGCTCAGGAAAATCCCTGGAGCAGAAAACAGGGTCCGCAGCAATATTAGGGGCAGCATCATAAATGATTGCCTCTCCCTGCTGTCCCCAGCTGCCATTGCCAATGCAAGAGAGAGCCTGGATGGGCTCTGGCCAGGAGCAGATTTGCTGCTGCTGCTGTGCAGCCCTGGAGGGTGGTGGTGCTCCTGGGTGGGCTGGGAGACCCTCCCTGCAGCGTGAGACCCGAGCGCTCCCAGCCGGCGCTGTTCCCGCAGGGATGCTCGGCTGCTCCCGCGGGCACTGACAGCAGAGGGTCCGTGCCTCGCTGCTCACCCCGCGGGGGTCTGCCCCGAGCCCGTGGGAGGAAGGCGAAGGGGGCGCGGGGCTGCAGGGCCAGCGCCGGGGGCTGGAGGGGCGCCGGCAGGCGAACCCCGCTGCTGGCGCTTGTCCCTTGCCTGTGCCTGGCCGGAGTCTGCGGAGCGGCACAGGGGCAGCGCCGCATTCCCTGAGCACCCAGCTCTGCCAGGAGCAAGTGGGCCCGACGCCGAGCCGGCTGCTGCTGGGCTTTGTCCGTGGCTGGGCTGATGCTCGGCAGGAATGAGCCGCCGACAGAGGGGTCTGCCAGGTCAAGCTCAGGTGGTGACAGCTCCTGCTGTACCACGGGTGCGACAGGTACCGGGGGAGCTGGCCTGGAGGGCAGGAAGGGATGACCTGGCAGTCCCGAGGAGGTGTAGCCTTAGGGATGTTTATTTACATGCCAGGTGTTTTGTTTGGCACTCTGTCACACAGAGCAGGTCAGTAACAGTTTCCAGTGACTGTTCTGCTCTTCTGCCTTCCTCACCTGAGGGGCAAATAACTTTTATTACAGGCAAATGCCTTGCATTATGAAAGAGGCTCCCAATGGATACCAAGAGCCATATTCCCCAGTTTATTCTGGGCAGTTGGTTTTACAAGTCAATGTTGTATCAGAGAAGTATTTGCAGTGGATCATCAGGTCTGCTTCAATTGAGTATAGCAGCTGAACATATTAATATAATTTTAAAATGTATTGATAAAAGGAATTTCTTAAAATGTAGATATTTCTCTCTCTAAGTCTTTTTTCATTGGGTGATGTTTTAATTTTAAGCCTGTAATTGTATAAAATCAGAGCAGCACACTCTATTGATTAGAATCTAGCTAGTTGTTATGCATCAAAATTTACTTAATGCAGAGCCATCAGCTAGTTGGATATCATTAATATTGTAATATTAATGATATCCAACTAGCTGATGGCTCTGCATTAAGTATATTACAATATATTAATATTGTAATATTAATGGCTCTGCATTAAGTATATTACAATATATTAATATTGTAATATTAATGATATTGAATATCATTAATAATCTGGAAGAAATTGGATAGTTTTACATACGTCAGAAATTATCCATAGGCTCATAGGATTCTTCAAAGTTATTTTTCAAACTAGAATTTGCATTCAAGTGCAACTTTTTAATTTTTGCTGGTTTTTATCCTGTAGAAGCAGGCAGCGTGACAAAATATTTGTATGTAGGAACCAAGAAATATTTAATGCCTTGCTGAGTTCTACCTCTCAGTGCAGAGCATGAGCTTGAGGGAGTCCAGCAGTGGTGCACAAGGGAACATCTCAGTTCAGTTCAGTACATGACCCCTTACCAACTCTCCCTGCTTTGGTTTCAGAACATGCGCATAAGATGCCTGAGTGGAGACACGTACTACAGCAAAGCAGGCAAGAAATTTGCAGGCCAGGTTCTGGAGAAGTTTGTCCTGGTTGATTGTGACCAAGTCCTTGCTGGTACATACAGGTAAGAAAATACAGAAACTACTGTGGCAGAGACTGGTGACACTGAGGAAATATTTCTTACCAAAATACTGAATAATGTAACTCCTGGTGCTGCATGCTGGTTCAACAGCTACCTAGCATTCACTTCAGTCAGTGCTTTCACAGTTTTCCAAGCCTCCATCTTATCCACCCTCCCTGCCCTTTTCTTACCTGAAGAGCTCAAACTTTTCAGAAGTCTCTCCTCATACAGTGGCTGCTGCATCCCTCAGCCTTTTTCATTCTGTTTTTCTGCACCCTCTGTGACCTCACTGCCTCCTTCTTGAGGTGCAGAGACAAGAACTGCATGTGGCCCCCCTGATACACTTCACTGAGGTGTTCAAGAGGGGTAAAAGATGCCCAGACTCTGGTTTGTGATTGTGGCCCTTGCTGGTGGGGATAAATACTCACTGCATGTTTTAGTTGCCATGGCACTCTGAGCTGATGATGTCAGACAACTTCCTGAGCGGTTCCAGGTTCAGCATCATACAGATGATTTCCCCCTATGGATACACAACATTTTCCTTTACTGAAGTTCATCTGCCACATATTTGTCCACTTGCTCAGTGAGATTCTTCTGGATATGCTCACCTTCAGTGAAGTATCCATCCACCTGAAGGACCTGAGGATCACCTGCAAAGTGGGGAATTTCACTGCACCCTGTCCATGCCTGAGGGCATCCATGTGCTAAGTGGTTCCCTCACCAAACTCCAGCGGGTTGGTGAGCTGGGTTTGGCTTTGCCCTGTTGTCCTTTTCCAAGAGTATGTGCTTCTCCATGCTAGCAGGAAGCTTGTTCTTCACAGCAAGCTCTGCATACCCCAGGGTAGAGGGCAGCTCCAGGAGTGTGTTGGCCTCAAGCCTGTGTTCAGAGCCCTCTCTGTAAGGTGGGATCATATGGGAAACCTCTGGTGGTGCTGATACAGAGGAGTGAAACACATCTCAGTGTCACCAGCACCGTGATGGATGTAGGAAGTCCACTGAGGTTCTCAGCTATGGCTTTGCCATTGCCCTTTTGACACCCAGGCCTCAAATGAGCCCACTGATTCCTTGACTGCCAGTTCAGCATTTGTGAACAACCTACACCCAGTCATCCTGGGGATTTTTGGTCTGTTCCCTTTCAACTCTTTTTGACCAATTGCTGCATTTTTACATAGTTACCTTTCTTGAAACTGAGCCTTGACATGCTGCATTTATTTAGTTTGCTGTCCACTAAAGAGTTAAAATTGTGTTGTGATCATTCTTACAAACAGGTTCTTCCACTTCTGCCTCTGGAAGCAAGTCTTATGCCCCATTCCAGACCACATCCTGAATCACATCTTTTCTTGTGGGTCAAACAATTTAGACTAGTTAATTCTGGCATGTAATCATTTATTGCTTCCAAAAAGTTTTTCTCCATGGTTCATCCCAGTGAAGCATTAACCTGTATGTGTACCAATGGATGAAATCTCCCCCTGTTGCTGCCCATCCTAATTTTGCAGCCCCTGTGATCTCAGTTAACATTGTTCCACACAGTTCTGATCGGAGGGTCAGGACTACTGTTCTTGTCCTGTATTTTTATTACTAGATTCTATTTAGTTTTCTACGTGCAGATCCTTCCCACAGTATTTTCACACTGTTGAACATTATATTATCCTTCACAAACAGTGCAGCTCATCAGGACAGCCTGCTCTGTGAATTTGTTGTCCTGGTGTCCTGGTTTAGGGCAAATTTGGGAGAAATACTTTTATTCTCCTTCCACCAGATCTCCTTGAACATTGCTCTCCCTCTCCCTTTCTCTCAGTTTCCATCTCTCTGTGAGCACACCCTGGACCCTGAGGCTACCAGTGTCCTCATCAGCACTGTAGCTTCAAGCTGCACCTTCTGCTCTGGTGTTGACTTCATCATCTCCCAAGAGTGGAGGTCTCACCTCATCAAACTCTGGCAAAATGAATGAAAAATGGGAGTACATGGTTGAAACTGCTTGTGTCAAATATCTAAACAACATGGAGAGCAGTATCTGGTGGCATTTTTACCATACTAAGACATTTTACAAAAATTGAGTGAATCACTGTGTGGAAACACAGGATGCTAGAATCATAGAATGGGTTAGGTGGGAAAGCCCTTTAAGAGCCTTGAGTCCAGCTGTTCCCTCAGCACTGCTGAGCCCACAAGTAGCCCATGTCACATATACTTGTCTTTTAAATCCCTCTATCCATCTCCGTTGGCTGCAGGGGCAGGCATTACATAACTCATCGGGATCACTCATTTTTGGATGACTAAATCTGAGCATGTGTCAGCTGGATTGAACTGCACAGCTGGAGGAACATCTGATCTCCCTGTGGCCCAGAGACAAGGTATTGCTTAAAATGCAGGTGCAGCTCTCTGGGTCAGTTTGTCCCTGTGCTGTTAAGGTCAGGGACTGGGGGCTGTCATGTGGTCCCTTTCTACAATCTCTGCAGAGCTGAAACTGCTGGAATTCTGGAAGATAGGATTTCAGTTGAATAGAGTCTTACATTTGATTCTGTGCTGTGCCAGTAAGCACAGGATGTTCTGGACTAACAGAAACGGTCTCTTCTTGAGGAATTTGTTCACTTGTCAGAAACACTCTCACAGCAGAAAATCAGGATATCTGCTTCTGGTGTAGTGCAACCTGTATAGGAGATATTCAGATTACCATCCCTGCAGATGGAAAACCAGATGCAAAGGATGAGAAAATGGCTTTACTGAGTAAAACAAAGATCCAGGGTGGAACCAGGGGTGTCTCAGGATGATACAGGGACAAGGGTAAAAGTGTTCTTACCCAGCAGCAGGCTTTGCAGTTCAGCAATGCTGTATGCAAGGATCAGAGGTTTCAGAACTCTGGGGTTTTATGTTGTATGTGCTTCTCTATGTTCGGTTTGCTATGGGACACTCTTTCCCACCATGCCTGGCCTCCATGATACCCTCTGGCAATGGGTTATGCAGTTTATGTTTTGTGTGAAGAATTGGTCTGTGGTGTTTACAGTAGATATACTGCCAGATAATTATATTTAATGTCCCCAAATTCCCACAACCTGGGCACAGGAAATCACTGTTTCCCATTTACTTTCTTGACTGCATCCATGATTTTGTCCTTCTCCATTATAATCCCTCATGTGAACCATCTCTTCTCCAGGTGAAGTATCCTTGGCTTTTCAGTAATTTCTTGTATCCAGAGTTGGAATTTATTGACATTTAATTGTCAATCATTTTGTAACAATTCCACCCCTTACCATAGGATCCTCTTGCAGCTTCTGTTTATCCAGTTTTCTTTTGATCCACAATAATATTGTCATGAGGTCTGGCATGGACAGTTTCTACAGTTTTTTAATACTTTCCTCAACATGATGAACAGCATGGATCCCAGCACAAGTCTTGTGGGTTTCTGGTGGGTAAATGAAACCCACTGCTAGCGTTTGTGTCTTTAATCAACTGCTACTTGTTGGGAAGACCTACCTTTGTACGTACTCCATGATTGCTTAATTTTTCTAACAACAAAAATTGTCTTTGCTGAATGACCATGTCAAAATCTCTTTGAAAGTTCAAGTTTGATACATCAAGCACATCTGTGTGCGTGCTGCCTCCCTCAAAGATCTACAAGAGGCTTTTGAGGTATGGTTTCCTTCCATAAAAACATGCTGAGTCTTCAGCATTATAATTATGGTTATTTATGCATCTAATAATTTTACTCTCTATTTGCTTCTACCAGTCTGTTCAGTATGGAAATAGGAGTGGCTGGGTTGTAGTTTTCCAGGAGCTCTTTAAAAGGTTCAGATTTAAAACTTTTCATTCCTCTGCTACTATGTTCAATATTAAATGATAGGTTATTCCCTGGTTTATAATTTGAAAATCGCTGACTTCCAGTTTATGAAGGCTTTTTGCTTTAATATTTTCATTTAATGTACCTGTTTTTAACTATGGTGAGATTTTCTGATTATTTAAAATGTCTTTGATAGGTACATTTTCTCTGAGACTCTAACATAGCATCTTTAAACAATCTTCTTGCCGCCTCAAGCATTTAACCTATTTGATTGCTCTTTTAAATTTCTTTTTAATAGCATTCCTCACTTTCTCTTTGAAGTTAAGCATTACTGTTGTGGATTATTTTGGTCCTGAAAGAATATTTGATATGGCTAGGTCATGGTTATTTTTTGCTGAGTGGCCTTTCCAAAGAAACTCTATGAACTGGTAGTGTTATTTCTCCTTTTGTTAGCTTTCTGGTTAGTTTTTCGAAAAAGTGGTCATTTATAGTGTCTAAAATGCAATTTTGGCAACTCTCCTCATTGTGGCCCCCATTCAACCTGGCAGGATCTCCATTTATCCCTCTACTTTCCGCCTTCTTAGTTTCGTAGCACCCCCTCAATGTGGCCTATTTACCATCAGCACTGGTCAGAAAGTTCTCAGTACAGACACCATGCACTTTTCCAAACACAGCTTTATTTGTTCAGATGTTCTCCAATTATTCTAATTCCTTACCCAAGTGTCACTGATTTCCATCCTGTCCTTTTACCAGAATACAGTTTTCTTGCATTTGTTTTTAAAGTGAAGTGGGTGATCCCTAACTGTGTGATCTTCTACACATCCCAGCCTTGGTCTGCAGCAATCCACGGCACCCTGCTATCCATTGGGTTACTCCAGCCTGGCAGCTCTGCAATGAGGAGATGAGCAATGAAGAAAAGGATCCAAATATGCAGAAATAGCATAACTGTCCCTCTGCTCTCCCAGGTTTTATTCATTCATACAAGAACCACATGGAGCTGTGCCAGGGCAGCTCAGGCTGGAGATCAGGGAAAGGCTCTTCCCCAGAGGTGCTGGCACTGCCCAGGCTCCCCAGGGGATGGGCACATCCCCAAACCTGCCAGAGCTCCAGGAGCGTTGGGACAGCGCTGCCAGGGGTGCCCAGGTGGGGCTGTTGGGGGGTCTGTGCAGGGATGGGGCTGGATTGCATGATCCCAGTGGGTCCATTCTAGCTCAGGATGTTCTGTAATTCTATGATTCTTTAATTTGTTCTGATAAATATATGAGCATAAATTAAATAATGCTGCCAATTGGTACACATCAAGCACATTTTTGCAGCATTTTCTAAATATGGAAGCCAAGCTCACAGCACTTATCTTAAACAAATGTAGGCAAATTAGGTTAGACCCTTGAACTCTTATGTGTATACTGATTAAATGCTTAAGACTATATTTTTTCTAAATGAAGGACAAAAAAATAGATTAAGGTATCTAGGCAAAGCAATAATCTAAAATCTTAAATGTAATTAAATATATAGCTATTTAGGTTTATTCTGGTAGGGTGTTTATTTGAGCACTTAAGATATTTACTGTTTCAGCAGGTGAGAAGAACCCAAGGGCCAATAGTAGCTAGAGCTAAACAGGATCTTGAACAGGAAATATAGACTAGAACCAGAGAAAAGAGCTGGTATTGTTGTCCTGCTGGGGGGTCGTGCTGTTGTTTTTTTTGTTTTCTTGGAGATTAAATTTTTCTGCTGAAAATGACAGATGGTCACGGTATCGTTGTGTGTCCTGCCATGGGCACAGAGAGGAAGGAGCCCAGTGTTTGCTATAGGGAGAAACTCAAGATCTGGGGTTGAATCTGACACAGCAGATGAAACTGAAAAATGAGAGGTGAAAGTTTACAAGAGTACAAAAGCTTCCACACATGGCTTCAGGAGAAATACAACTGAAGTACAGAAGTGTTTGGCAATGGACAGATAAAGTTACATGGGTTTGAAGCTAAAGGAGTTCCAGGAAGTCTGGAATTTCTTTCAAAGGTGCTTATACTCACAGGTATCCATGGTCCAAGCAAGAGGAATGAGCTTTGAAGAGGGATTTTTAGATCTAGCTGGATGAGGACTCACCTCAGGAAAGAAATTCTAATGAAGCAGGAAGGGAGTGTGTAAGGAGTGGGAAGCACAGTGCATCAGCAAGGGAACCCCAGTGACACATGCAGCAATGCAGTGACATTGCCAGGAGATGAGTGATGTACAGCCTGGCTGGGCACACTGAAGCAGGGAGGAGCAAGTCCTCGGGTGTGTAAATAAAAAGTGAATCCAGGAGAAAGAGACAAGGTCTGCTGCTGGAAGGATGAATAAGAAATAAGAGATAACAGACATGGGTGCCCAATTAGTTGAGTACATTGCACTGGTTTTGATCAAAACGAAGATGAAAATAAAGGAATGGAAATTATTTCAGGTGTGTTGGGTGCAGGCTAAAAGAGCTTGCTGCAATAAAGGCAGGTTGTTGTTACCTTATCAAAGAAAATGTCACTTGAAATGAAAGGTCTAGTAATGAGTGTTATGTGGTACATGAGCAAAAAGAAAACAAAGAAGTTTGTGTTGACATATGGAAAGAAAAGAATGGCTTTGTGACAGCCCAAGTGACAGAAGAGCAATAAAAATAAGTTTGAGAAACTGTTGAAAGAAGAAAAAAAATCTTTTGCTGCAGATTGGTATCTGGTGTGTTGGAAAGAGCTGAAGCAGGGAGGCTGAATGTGGAGATGCGGAGTCACCTTTTCAAACAGCTGAGGAAAGGCAAAGGCCACCGTGACCCCAAAGCAGAGCTGTACAGGGGCACGCAGGGAACTAATCCGGGTGTCGAAAATGCTGCTGAGACGGAGATTTGTGGAACACCGCAGGTGCTCTTCCCGGCGGAGCCCCAGGGCAGGGGCGCTGCGAGGACCGGGCGCTGTCCCCCGCCGCCCGGAGCTGATGCTGCACCTCCATCTCCCGGCCAAGGGCTGAGCTGCACTCCCGGAGAGTGAAAGCAGGGCAGGGACGGGATCCTGTCCTACAGCCATCCTCTCCCAGACTCCTTCGTGACCCAGGGGGGACTAGAACGGCTGTGGGCAGCAGTTTGCTATAGGGAAAAATAATGTCAGGAAAGCCCTACCGCTCTCAGAAGCTCTTATGATCTTTTAGCATCCAGGGTGGCCTGCAGCAGGAGGAGACCCAAAGCCCACGTGGGTGTTGTGTTGTGCAAGGCAGTACCTCTTCCTGTCTGTATTAGATTTTTAACCTGTGAACTTCATCCAGTGCCTCATTTTTATACCAGAAATCATTCCCTGGCTATGCCAGTCAGGGAAGAAAAGATCTTTATCAGTTTGTAGCGATGGCAATAGCCATGGCTGGCAAGACCACATTGTCCCATCCTGGAAACCTGTGCTGTGGCAAGGGGATTTGGATGATTCCTTCCAGGTCTTGTCACGACCCAGAGTGAGCAGGACCCCATTGGATCAGCATGGGAAACTGGGACATAGGAATGCCCAAACTGGGGCAAGAGGCATCAGTGGAGCCAGGAAGTGCCCTGGGACAGATGCCTTTGACAATGTCGAACCATGAAATCTCCCCTGTCTGGACTACTGGATTTCTTCAAAGAACTCTCAGGGCTTTTTGAGAGATAACATTCCTTTGCCAAAGCTGCCTTTCCTATTATCTCCTATTTCCTATATGGACATTAATTGTATTCTTTAGAAGAGTCTCTACTAATTTGTGTATATACACAACTTATGTCTATCTAATTTGTGAGACTTAATTGTCTAGAACATTAAAAACATTATATCACATTAGCATCCTGCCGCTCTCCTGATAGCCAGAGCCCTTTCAAGTGGGAGACAGCACATCCTGGTAAGGATCTAAGCTATTTAATCCTGGCATTCCCTGGATGCTCTTATGTTGATGATCCCTGCTCCTGCCCAGTCACTGATATTTGCTCTGTTGATGTTTCCTAATCTCATCTACAGAGACCTCTACAGAAGACTGATTCTCCCTTGTATTCTGTGTAAAGAGGGCTCAGGGCAGCCCAAACTCCTGTACAATAAAGGGATGCAGAGGAATTATCTGAATGCTCCTGTTGCACATGGGCCATGTGCCTCAAAAAGAGCTGCATATTTCTTCTTTCCCCTTTTGTATGACCCAACCTTTTTCAAAGATGGTCTCTCTGGGCTTTGGAGCTTCTTCTTTGTCATTTACCCATCCCAGGTAGTTTCTGCTTTGGCTTTTTCACCCTAATATCTCTGTGAAGGGATGCATTTGCTTTGAGCCTCCAGCATGGTATTTCTGATTACTCTTCATGCCACCCACAAAGATATTTTTGGTTTTTTACTACTTCTGCATTCTTATTTAATTTATCTGGTATGATATGAAGCAGCAGAGTATTTTTTCCATATTATGTTTCTGTTTGTGGTGTGATTGCTGAGTGTAAACATACCAAACATCAGTCTGACTTAAAACAATTGCAGAGTGCTCAGAGACTGGTCAGGAGGTGGGTTTCCTATGGAAATTCCCAAATAGCTTTCTTGTGAGCTAAACATTGATGAGGTCCCAAAACACAGTGCCAGTATCTTGTCCTGAAATGACATTTATTTGAGAATGTAATCTTCCATGACAATTGCTCTCCTGGAGCTCCTGTCATTTTACCCTGCTCTTCAGAATCAGCGTCTTGCTTTAGCAGCAAACACAGCTCTCAGCTGGTACTGCCACCTTTGAAAATTCTGGTTTATTTGACACATTTAGTGTGCTGATCTGGTCTGACTACAGTAAGAATACAAAATCAGCTGATGACTGGGATAACCAGGAGCCTGGGGATCCCACTCTGAAGAGGAACTTCCCTGCTTAATCAGGAAAAGGAAGATTAGGAGAATATGGTTACAATCTGTAGCTATACTGGGGAAGAGCTAATTAGGTTACAGTTTAGGCACAAACAAGAGGTAGGGTTAAACACATAAGGAAAATTTGCAGAGTTGCTATTAATGGAAGTTCTTCCCCAGCTAGGGCAAAACCAGTTTGGTTTTAAGGTAGAATATGACGAGCTCCCAGAAAAGATCCCAAAAACACTTAACTGTGAGGGCAGGGACTGGACTTGTTGAGCCAAGAATTAGCTTCTATTGAATTTGGGAATCCCACAGCAATACTAATAGCAAACATCACCAGCCTACCTGTCCTGAGGTATTCCTGTGGATTCTGGACACCTCCACTCTTCAAGGCAGTTCCTTATTTCCTGCCTGCCCAAGCAGCTCCAACAAGCCCATCACGGATGTCAGGACATGAGAACACAGCTCCTGCCAAAGCGAGAGAAGAGCAGGGGACCCTGAGCAGAAATCAAACAATCACTTTAGGGTTGTTCTTTCGTACTTATTGATGAGCACTTTCATCTCCATGAGCAATCTCCCACCTGCCTACTTAGAGAAAGTTGTAACAACACAAATAGGGTAGCACTCCATCACTGGAATGTGAAAATCCATGCTAGGTATTTTGGCACTCTGTGAACTGAAGTTAACATGTGTTTTGTTTCTTTTCCTGTAGTTTCACCTGGCTTTGCAGCCAAGTCCACACTGGCCTGGTGACCCACTTCCGCGGGCAAATTGTTGCAGAGTTTGAGAAGGAATTCCGGTACTTGTACGCAGAGTCCAGAGCAGTGACCAGCTTCTGTGTGCCAGATCCCAGGACATGTCTCTCTTCCTGGAATACCTCAAAAGTTGACAACTGTCTTCTAAAACCCACTCAGGGGAATGATACTGAGACCCTGAGCCCCTCCAGCAGCCTTTCCAATGCGAGCATCAGGAGCATAAAAGTGTCTCCCTTCATGAAAAACTCCAGCTGCAGTGCACACCAGGAAAAGCAAGATTCCAGCTCTGATTCTGGCAATAAGAAGGAGAAGGAGGACACATTCCTGAAGCCCACTTGCCCTAAACAGCAAGAAGAACCACCAGACTCAGCGAACAGTCCTCCAAATAAACCCACCCCAGCCTTGAATCCCAAATCAAACCTCATAACAGCAAGGACATTCCTGCACCTGGAGACTTCCTCCAATAAACCTGGTAACCAGGGGGACACTAAGGCCAACAGCAGCCACTGCTCCCCGCCGAGAGTGGGGCAGCTGCTGCAGTCCCTGTCAGAGGGCACCAGTAGCAATGGGTCCAGCTTGAAGCAGAGAGCTCCTGTGGCCACTTCTGGGGTGCTGCCAGCTGAAAATGAGAATGTGTTTTATGGGGTGGAAAAGAGACAAAGCCCTGAACATGGCCATTTTGACCTTTTCTCCCCATACAATCACCTCAAACGGGATAAAAAGTCTGTAGTGCCTTGCTATGACAAGTTCCCAGAGGATGTGCTGCTGGAAAAGAACAGTGCGTACGGGGCGGAGAAGAGAATGACTCTGGGGCACAGCAAGCTGGACCTGATCACCAAGTACAACAAATTGAAATCCAAACATATACACAGTCGGTTCGAACTCTGACCTGGGCCTCAAGCTGGCCTCTGCTCTGATTTTTCAGGGGTTGTTTTCCCTGCCAATCATCATGCTTGGGGCTTGGAATCAAAACATTAGTCTTGTTCCTGTTAAAAGGTGTCTAATCTATGTACATGACTGATTCAGATGAGATTAGCGACTGCAGCTCAAATTTTCAAATACATGATTGTGGCAGGAGGGAGAAAAGCACATAAATATCATCCACATTCCTTTTGCACATTTGGGAAAGAACCATTTCCCCTTAAACTTACAGCAAAGCCATTGCTACACCTGGAATATGGCCACTAAGGTCTTCAGGGTGAGCCCTGGTTCTCTCCATGCTGAGCAATTCCTCTCCCTGCAGCCATATGGTGCAAATGAAATGGGCAAAGGCAGGGGGGTGTGAAAAATAAAGGAGTTGTTCTGCTGGAAAAAACTGTGTTGGGTCCTGGTGGAGGGGGTGAGCACTGAGTGTGGCCAGCACCCCGCCGTGCTGAGCCATGCCAGGCCAGGAGGGGACAGGGACATGTCTGGGCACACGTTTGGCATCTGCGGACAGCTGACATTGTCACATCGGTGGGTGTCAGCACACGGATGGGGGCTGCTCCGGGGCACACCTGAACACTGGTGGCAGCTGACACAGGTGACCTCTATACGGGAGCAGCTGGGTTGTGGGCGGCCTGCCACCTGACATGTCCGCTGTCCTACACCGCGACGGAGCAGGCAGGGGTGTCCAGGCGTGGCTCTTTTTGGGACAGGGACAGCACCTGGGGAGCACCAGGCCATGGGCTGGGGCTGTACACAAATGGGGGGGCCCACAGTGGCCAGGGACAGCCATGGCACACCTGGCACCGGGACAGAGACAGGGATGGACACCAGGGACAGGGACAGCGATGCCGCACCTGGGCCCGCGGCGGTCTCTCCGGGCTGTGGGGACACCCGGGCCGGCCCAGCCGCGGGTGGGATCCGGGCACACGGGGACGAGCTGTGTCCCACAGGGCCCGGGCTGGCGAGCGGTGCCTGGGGCGGCGCTGCCGCCGCGG